TAAGGAATACTTTTGTAGAGTATTTTACCATATTTTACCTGTTCCTGCATCCAGCCTTATCTAACCACAAACACAGTTAAATAGCTACTAATATTTTATCAAATTAAGTCATTAAGTCAAGTAACTCCACCATTCCCCTTTGTCTGAGATATTGTCATAATCTAAGCTGTTTCATTGAGAGAAAAAAGTTTCTCCTTGCTTTTTTACCCAAAATATCAGCCCAGTATTTTCTATTACTTTTACAAGTAAATTTAATCTCCATAACATCCACATAGCTTTCGTCCTTCCAATACTTCTATGTGCTCAAGCAGCAGCAGAGTTTGTTGAAAAAAAAAAAAAGACAACTACCACAGACATAATTTGGAAAGCAAGCAGTGTGGCAGGATTCAAAAGTCTTCAAGAAAGAGAAGAAAGTTTATCTCCCTCCAGGCCTTTTCTCATCCACTGAAGGTTTTGGGTTTTTTCCCCAAATGACAAGAGCAGACTTCTCATATCTACAAAGCTGACTATGCCAGAAAAAGACACAGCCTTATCACTTTAATTTCACATGATATAACTCTGCTGGAGTACAAAGGTACAACAGAATTTCCTGCTTCTACTTCCTTTCTCATCTACGTTCTTCTCCCTTCCATTCCAAAGCACCACTATTCACCAGACTTCACGTTATTTGGGATAAAACATATGTATTTTCCACTACCCTGACATGGTATTTCAGCCTGATGTTTCACTGGCTATGAACGTCACCTTGTTACATTTCCACCCACATCTTCATTCTTCAAAAGTTCATAATTCATGCCAACGTAACAGTGAGAAATTTCTTAATTTCAAAAGGAGAAATGTCCACATGTGCAGACAAATTCATATAGCTGCCAGCACACGTGCTCACAACTCTGCCAAGAAGTAGTCATGGAAAATACGATAGGATTACCTGTGAGATTAGCTGCCATCTCTTCAGCAGTCTGACACAGCCTCAGCCCTTGTTTTAGGGGACCTTCCGAGTCCACATACTGGCGGCGCTTGAGGTAGCAGGACACTGCCATCTGAATCTGCTCTGTGCGTACGCGTTTCATGACCTCAAAAGGAAAGAAAGAGGTGATGAGACTCTTACAGGGTAGGCTGAGATCAACTTAGACTGCAGCTGCATTAATACTGATAAAAAACAAATATCTCCATATTTTCATTGCTGAGATATGAAACAGAACCCCCAGGGATTTGCCTCTCAGTACTATGGCCCAGACATTTTGTAGATCCCTGAAGATATTTTGCTGCCTCATTCTACTAATTTCACAGAGAAATCAAAAATAGTTTTGAGGATTCTCTACTGCAACTGCAATGGTGAACTGAAGAATTTTTGTAAAAACAGCTCATAAAAAGGGAGTATCTCTCCTCCTCAAGTTTTGACAGCAGCAGTTTGAGTACTCTTCAGTCATTTTCTGGTTCCTCTGCTTAACCAACCAACAAAAAAAACCCTCCAGAAGATTCAGTGGAATGAGAAATTAACATACAAAGATGGAAATTTTCAAAACATAATGCTTTATATAGTAAATCTACTTGGAGAGTCCAAGAAGCAAAAGCTCAACTTAAAGGTTAGAGCCAGACTTCTGGCACTTCACTCAGATAGGTCCCCAGGAAAAAAAAAAAAAAGAGGGAAATTAAAAGCAGAGCCTTCTTTATCACTTGCCTTGACCTATCTAGGCTTTCCTCTTAGGAAAGTTTGAAACAAAAAAAAATATTTTGAAAGTTTTTTAAAATATAAATTTAGGAACCCATCCTCACAAACACCACTTGGAAGTACCACAAAATCAAGATGAGCCCAATGCTACGTTTTAGCCCCTGGCTTGTCATAAAGGAACCTCAGTACATTTATGTATGGTACATCATACTCCCTTGCTATCTGGGTAGTCACTGACTGCACCAATCCTTCACAATAGCCATCAACTTTACACAAATGTTTAGATAACCTAAAAAGCTTTAAATAAAGCAGAACTAAGCCACAGGGTTTTTTTTTCCTATCACAACACCAGGTAAAGCCTGCCTGGAGATAGTTCATCACCTTACAGTCCCACTACCAATGACATGAATGTTTCCTGAGTGCTAGTGCTTCCTGGTTTGAGCAGGTAAATCTGACGAAACTCAACTTCTCTGAGAGAGACAAGGATGGCCTTCCTCCTTTTGTAAGAACCATTATTTCTACAAAAAATATTTGGTATTTCAGCTTCGAAAATACAAATGAGTTTTTTCTAATACCCATGCACACTTTAGTGCTCATTCCACTTATTAGAAAAATAACCCTTCTGTGAAGTTAGGTACAAGTGGATGAGGATGCAAGGTTTTAGCAATAGTTCATTTTCAACAGACATATGTAATTGCAAAACCACATGCTTGGTTGAAAACCTTAAAGAGATTCCCATTTGTTCCCACAGGTTAAGTACTTGTTGAGGGTGGGGAAGGATGGGAGTTTTCAAAGAATTTTCAGATAAACCCATTAAAATAAAAAGTTTTCAACACCTCCTTTCTCTCCAAAAGCAAACTTCCTTTTCACCTTCCCTGCAATTAAAGAAGTTTTATCTGAGACAATGTGTCAAGTGTAACACTTCTGTTGCACACAACTGTAGGAAAGACAGAACTCTTATCAAGACCACCAAGCAGAGTGGACCCAAGGATAGACCAGCAACTTAGCACCCTCCTAAAAAATAGAAGCATAACTAAGCTTCACAATGTACTGTTACCACTCTGCACTTCAGCCAGCAGCACGGATTCATGTGCAAGTGATTTGCCCAGGTCCACACCGAGGCACTTATGCAATCTGAGCAGTTTCTTGCTCCCTACCTACTCCCGCCTGCAGTCACAGTAGGGGATGTTACCAGCAGTATCACAAGGAGACTTTTTCCCCTACTCCCAGGTGACACAAAGGGACCTACCTTAAGGAAATGCATCTTCATCAAGAAACACCCATTAGCATCAGACACAGTGTCACCCATACTCTAATTCAGCTCTTTGCTTCTTTCTCCACTTTGCCTTTATACTTCACACTCCGCATTACAAAGAACAATGTCACCGAGGCAGGAAAAGTATTCATGAAAAGTGCTAGAGCAAAACCAACGCTCCTACAAATATTCTTTATTGAGCTTTTAATCAAAATTAGAGTGTATCATAAAATAAACATAAGAATGGCTTCCCAAAATGCTGTCAGCCTGGTTCAAGGTTCAAGCTACACCAATTCACAACAGGTCAACGATGCAGAATTTAAAGTCATAAAAGGACAAGCCTGCTGTTTTTAACTTCCAATCAGTTTTAAGATTCTAGCTCTCATAACTGAGGATAATCTCCAAAATATGTAACAAACTGAAAGCATATAGAGTTCCCTGTTCACAAAATGCATAAAGCTTGAAACAATTGTTCAGAAGTTCCAGCTGTCTCATTCTCCTTGAACAGGCAAAGAGAATAATAAATACTAATCCTGCTAACCAATTTTACTGATAAGCAAAATAGATAAGGAAAGAGAGAGGAAAGAACAGATTGTGAGAATGCAGAGCTACAATACAGCATTTTCTGCAGTGTTCCAAACTGGAGCACTGAAAAAAGGTTAGGGTAATTTTTTTTTGAGGAACCAAAACCACTGAAAAAAACCCCACCAGAGCAGAGGCTAATAACACAAAACACATTGCAAATTCCTCCTTCTTGGAAAAGCTGGAAATTAGTTGTGAACTAAGCACTGGGACAAGGAAATTATTTTCCCGCCTATGCTACATTTCAGGTACAGGTTTAGGCAGATTCCATGGCCTTGAAATAATCCCAGTACAGACACACTAAAAGGAACTTAAAAACTAGCACTGGAAACACTCCTTTTAAAGAGTCTGTATTCCTGACACTGCCACAGCAGTCTCTTTCTTCCAACAGACTGAGGAAAGACCTGTGAGCATCAGAGAGCTAAGCTGAAAAACACCCAATCCCCAAACTAATAAAAGCATAAAACAAAAGCATCTTTTGAATGTTCTCTAATAAGAGCCCTGTCTCAGGCCTCAGTTGTGGACAGCAAAAAATAATCTTTCCTCCTTTACCACCATAGGTAAGATGTGGGGCTTACCAACAATAATAGGTCTGAATTTTTAATTTTGTGACATTAGGATAATCTGAAATTTACAAAATTTCAGAATAAGTGAGATAAGGATTAACTGATATGGAGATAACCATGAACTAAGAGCCAAGGGATGTTGCACATGCAGCAGCTGCAATTCACAAAAACAAGAAAGTAAACATGGCAAGTTGACTTGGAGAGCATGGTGGTGGTGCAAAATAGGAAAATAGGCTATCAGGAACTACGGAGAAGGCTTTTGCCTGAGCAGTGGCATTCATGTGAAGAGGCAGAGAGGGAACAGCTGTGATTTTAAAAGAGCATGAATCCATTTGCATTTGGACCGAGATCTGGCTCACCATCCACGAATGACGCTTTGCCAATTCCACGTTGTTTCCCCCCGACCCCCCCCGCGGCCCCAAGTCGGTGCCAAGCAGCGCTTCACCGATGTCCTCGGCGGGACCTGCGGGACACGCTTTCCTCCAACCCACTTCGCACCTCCTCGGCTTCACCCCGCCGCCCCGGGCCCTTCCCGGGCCGAGCGGAGCCGCGGGCCCAGGCACGGCTCGCCTGTGGGCCCTGCCGGGGCACACCGGGGCCGGGAGCCCTGCGGGGCCCCGCGCCCGTCCTGGGGCTGCTCCGCGGGCCGAGGGGCGCTCCCTGAAGGGACGCCAAAGTTACAGCCTTCTCCTGTCAATACTAAAAAAAAAAAAAAAAAAAAAAAAAAAAAAAAAAAAAAAGAGGAAAAAAAGAAAAGGGAAGAGAGATGGCGCGATAAGAAGACGCTCATTAAACCCACGCACTTTCCAAGGGAAAGGATATCACGACCAGAGGCCCCCCCGCGACCTCCGGCCGCAGGGCACGCGCCCGGCCCCGTCCGCAGCCGGGGCTGCCCCAGGGCCGCGCCCGTGCCCGAGGTGCGGAGAGGTGGGCGCTGGGAGCGGGGCCGTGGGCGGCGGGCGGGCGGGCGGGCGCTTGGGCCCCGAGCGGTGCCACGTGGGTGAGTGCCGGGTGAGTGCCGGGCCGCTGCCCGTCCGACCGCCTTCTCCTCGCTCGGCGTCTCTTCCAGACGCGTGTCTGCCTCTTCGCTGTTCCCACGTGCCGCCCCCATGGCAGCGATCTACTCCGGGATTTACCTGAAGCTGAAAAGCGCCAAGACTTCTTGGGAGGACAAACTCAAAATAGCCCGGTTCGCGTGGATTTCTCACCAGTGCGTCCTGCCTAATAAGGAGCAAGTGAGTACTTTTTAGTGGTGAGCAGTGATGGAAGAAGAAAATACCGATGGCGGATTGCTGCTATGGATGAATCAGTTCTTAAAATCCAGATCTAGCTTCTAGCTAGCTGATAGCACTGTAAATATAGCACTGATTTAGGACTGTGATCAGCTCTTGGTTTCTTTGTCGTTACATGAAATGTTTTTACAACAACGTAGGTATAACATCATACAGGTAGCTTCAGCAAAAAGCCCTGCATTCGTGTAGGACGGAAGAAACTTTCTTGTAGAGAGGGTAGTGCCTGTGTTTTGTCTCCCAGAGACACGAGAAATCATTGTCTTTAGAGCTGTCATTGCCATTGGTATTATGTCCAAGACAGGATGCTCCGAAGTCAGATACTTTTGGGCACAGTTAAAAACAAGAACTTGAGGATGGGAGGACTGACTGAGGCTGTGTGTTCTCTGGTGCTCAGAACTTGCTGTGCATGAGCAAAGAGTACACAGTGCATTCATGGACTGCTGCTTGGAAGGTGATTTGGTTTTCTCGTCATGGAACCCACACTGTCTCCTAAGTCTTTTGTTTTGACCCTGTTTCCTGAAGGTCTGTGCAGTGTTTCCCTCGGTTAGGGATGTCTCATCCTATTCCTCTTGTCCTATTCCTGGTAGTACTTTTGGGCCTGGGGTTTGCACATCTGAAATCTGTGTTTCGGGTTCTTGTTATTTCAGTTACTTAAAATATTAAACTTAGCCATACACCACAACTTCAGTTTTGAAACAGTAATGAATAGATTTCAATCTTTTCCAGTTTGCATCCATCTAAATTCCTGGGCCTGAATTTTTAGGTAGTGAATTTGAACATATAAAGAGAAGGATGTAAGTGGAATAGCACCTTTCAGAAAGTGAAAACCAGCTGATTCTCTGAGTTGCTGATTTAAAAGACTGCATTTGCAACCGGTGTCAACTGTTAGAATTAGAATGTTGTCAGAGTAAAGATGTTCACTCCTGAAAGCTGTTTTGGGATGGTGCATGCAAGCACAGGTCCGACATTTGGTATAGAGCGTAAGCTCTTAGGAATTGAAACCTTTGGGAGCAGACTTCTCTGCTCACTCAGAAGCTGTTCTGCTTGGATGTAGCACGGTTCCCAAGGCACAAATGCTGTAACTGTGAGGAGGTACTGCTTTTGTCCTGTTTTTGCTTGGGGGTTGTTAAAGATTTCTTGTTTTCCCTTCTCTTAACAGGTTTTACTCGATTGGGTAAGCCAGGCATTGGTTTCCAACTACAACAAGAAACATGAACTAGAGGATGAAGTTGTTGAAAAACTCTGGGCATATCTTGACAATGTTATCCATAGTAAAAGACTACAGGATCTCTTAAAGAGTGGGAAGACAGTTGGTCTCAGTTTTTCAATTGCAGAGGTAACTATGACTGTGGATATTTGGTAAAATTCTGGATAGCAATATATATCTCTTACAGTACTTGGCTCTTCCTCAAAGTGTCAGATGTTGCATGAAATATGTATTAATCTGATAGTTTGCAGGACCTGTACTAAAAGTTTCTCTATTTCTGTCCTGCAATACATTTTGTATTTGTGCAGCACTAAGGTTAAAAATGGCAGAATTAGTGAGCGGCTGCAAAGGCAGTGAAAATGCCTGGGAAAATGATCCTTTTAGTTTTGATCAGATTGAAGGGAAGCAAGAGAAGATTGTCTTTACATGTAGAAATTGAACTGAGAAGTATGGAGAATTTTTTGGATGAAATATAGGCTTCAGAGATGTTGTGCAGAAAGTGTGCCAAATTTAAATGTGGTCTAGGTATGAAAACCTGTATGGATGAAGATCAGGTCAGAGGTACAGGACAGGGTACCCCGAACGCTAAGGACAGAGGTGGTAGAGAGTCCAGTGGGAAGAATTTAAGGGTATGTTTTAGTTCCATCACTGTTGCAGCAGAGGAGATGAACCATCCACAATAAGGTGGATGGAGACAAGTAAGGTTTTTGACAAAATGGACACAGATTTGTAAACTGTTACTGAATTTGTTTGCAGACATCTGAAGATGACAAAAGGGAGTGAGTGGAAAGTGGATTGAAGAAGAAAACAGCAGGGAAATACACATAAAGTTTGAGAAAAGGAAGAGAAATGCAACATCATTTCTCTAGAAATGTGTATCCCTCAAAGGGAAAAGAAAATAGTCTCATTCCAGATATCAGGACCAGAAATTGTCTCATTTTCAAATATAAAGATGATATTCAGTCATGGACATTCTTACTAAATAAGCTCCCTGTATCAGAGCAGGGATGTGTATTGTGTATGGGTTTGTTGTTGTTGGGAGCGTAATTCTGGGGACCATTGAAGAAGGGAAGAAATTTACCCCTACTCCATTTCTGCAGGATGAGCCATTAGTATCAAGTATGGATAGTCTTATGCTGTGGCCAGTAGCGTGCATGAGGGCTTCATTACTCATCTTGTGCTGCAAACAAATGCAAAGACAGTGGAGCTTCTAGTTTGAAACCTGTGATGTGAGAGGCCCAGCAGCAGTTGTAGGCACATCCCCCTTGCTTGCAGCCACAGGTCACAGGTGTTGTTGGCTCATGATAATGGGCTTTATCTTTGTATGCTAAATTGACTGGTTTTTGGGGTTTGTTTTTGTTTCTTTTTTCAGATCATAAACAAAAGGTTATCAGAGGCCTATTCTGAAAAAACACAGCAGAACATTGGCACTGTGCTGAGCTGCTCCAATGGCATCCTTTCTACTCCTTCACTGTCCATCATTTACACAGCAAAGTGTGAGCTTTTGGTTGACCTCCTCAGCAAGCTGTCCAAGCTGGCATGCCAGCAGCTGGCTTCTGACGATGCTGTGGGCTCCCAGTTGTTCAGCGTCCTCCATCTTACCTTTGCTCAGTACCTCCTGATCCAGAGGCAGCAAACCAACCCAAACCGTGTGTTTGGGCGTGTGACAAGTCACTTGCTCCAGCCATGTTTGCTCCTGAGGCACTTACTGACTGTGAGAAGCTGGACACAAGCAGATGATAACCATGTGTGTCAGCACCTGAGCAGAGAAATACGAAGCCAAATAGAGACTTTGCTGCATGCTGGGTTATTTCAGCCTGAGCTTTTCTCATCCTACAAAGAAGAGCTGCTGTCAGAGCAGGAATCCCAGAAGAAGAAAGGAGCTTTGAAAACTCTTTTGCTACCAGTCAACACAGTGCAGACCAAGCTGGGCAGTGACTTGTGTGAGCCTGCCCTCCACGGAGCGGTTGTGGCTGGTTCGGTGTCTCTGCTATATAAGCTCTTTCTGGACTCGTACTGTAAGGCAGAAAACCACCTTATGTGCTTCCACATGCTCAGCAGGCTTTTTGGCTGTCTCAGGCTCTCTGACCTGCAGGAGGCAGGGAGGAGTGATACGCTTTTCCCTGTGGACTGGAGCATGGAGCTGCTTGCTTTGGAGCAGCTTCTGAACTTGGTGCTCAGCAATGATATCTATAATGTCGCCAGTGACCGTATCCGGCACAAGGAAGTGCAGTTTGGGTTTTACCGGAAGCTAGCACAGATGCTGCTGACACACTCCCAAGCTTCCATCCCTGCTTGGTTCAGGTGTCTCAAGCTCCTGATGTCATTAAACCACCTTATCGTAGAGCCAGACCTGGATGACTTGGTGTCGTCAGCTTGGATTGATGCCGAGGCCTGTGACCCACGTACAAAGAAGCCACAGGAGACTCTCATCAGCACCATATTCCAGATTTACTCCAAGCTGAGGCAGTTCCCACGGCTCTTTGAAGAGGTGCTGACGGTCATTTGCCGGCCAGCTGTTGATGAACTGAGGCCATTCATCTTCTCTGCTGGCCTGACAGCAAAGCTTCGTGAGTGCCTTCTTGAACTGCCACCCAACCAGATTCTGGACATTCTGTATCTCTTTGTGGAGAAATGCCAGACCCATATCATTCCAGCTGTTGAAGGGTCAGTTGACATGGCCTTGAAGCTGATGTCAGTGTGCTCAGTGCTGCATGCTTTTCTGTTCAACATGAGGAGCCTAGATGATGTCACTCCTTCCCCTGTGGTGCTTCGCACTCAGCGTTTAATGGCAGACATACAGAAGGGAATAACTCAGCCACTGATGGAGCTGCTGCAAGCTCCTAGGAGAGAGGAAGAAAAGTCAGAGCTTTGGCTAAGAAAGACCAGTGATGCTACCCTCCTGCTTGTTTACACTTGGGTTGAAGTAGACGCTCTGTTTGGTGTTAGCTGCAGTAAATATGTGTCTCCAATAGCTGAAACAGCTGTTACTGAACCTGCTGCAAGGCACTGGGGCATTTCAGCTTTTCTGCCTGGTGTGGAGGAGCAGTGTTGGAGGAGAGTTATGGAACTTGCAAGTAGTTTTGCCTCCACTAGTAAGTACTGCTTAGAACTGCTCACACTTCAGAAAATGAAGATGATGTTAATGCAGACCAAAGCTGACCTACAGGCCTTGCATCAGGCTGCAGCTTTCATCCTGGAGTCTGGGAGGTCCACCATGAGCAGAGGAGAATCTGAACCGTGGGATGGTGATATCAGCGTGATAACAGAACTTAGCTACCCCACAGCACACTGGCACCTCGTCATGTCCAACCTGACCATCCTGTTGCCGTATCTTTCTTTAAAAGATGTAGAGTACATTGCAAATGTGCTTCTACAAACGTTGATGGTGTCTGAAGCTCAGGAAGCTGCCACGGACCAGGAGCCTTCCATCAGCATTGTGAAGATATCTCTTGGTTTGATCCACAGCTCTCTTCTACCAGAAATGAGGGTCCTGCACTGTGCTTTTCTCACCCATCTTATTCATCAGTTTGCTACAGTGCTGCCCACTTCTACCAGGGATTCAGTAGATCTGCCACTGCAGCAGCTGTCTGTGACTGGTATTCCTTGGCATGAAGAAATCCTGGCTTCTTGCAAAACTCTTGATCCATTGGAAGTTCCATCAGAAAACAAAGTGCAGAAGGATGAGCTGAGCTTGTCTTGGAAAACACTGGAGAAAGTTGCCCAATGTATAGCATTGTTAGCAAAAAATGGCTGCCCTGTCATCCTGAAAGAACGTCAGCTACAAAGATGCCTGGGTTTGCTAGAAATTGTTTCCCTCCTGAAATTAGACAGTTTTCTTCCCTCTGAGTGTACTCGGTGTTTTCTGGTGCTGCTGTCTCTGCTAGTTAATACCAGGGCTAATGCCTCTTGCAGCAAATTGTTACTGCTGAAGTTTTTAAGTACTTGCCTCCACCTCCTGAGATGCCTGCAAGCTGGCAGGAACTCCAACTCTGTTCTTAAGGTGTTACATGCCAGCGATGTTCTTGAGGCTGTCATGACCTCCCAGCTTACAGCTTGCAAGTTTTTCACTGATGTCTTGACTGTTCCTGTTTGGGCACAGTATGTCCAGGAGGTCCAAGAGTTTTTGGAAAACTTTCTTCAGATGATTATTGAAAGAAGACAAAGTGTGAAGCTCAACTTGGAAAAGTTCATGTCTTTCCTGGTGAGCTGTAGGCCAGACACAGGTGCAGCCAAAAGCATAGACTGGAAAAAGTGGAATCCTGCAGCTGAGCAATTGCTGCTCACAGCATTCACCACACTCTGTCATGTCATCACACTGCACCTCCAGCAGCTGCCAGAAAAGAAGCTGCATTCTGTGGATGTGATGTGTGCTCTGTTGGAACCAGTGGTTCTGCAGATGGTCAGAACAGTTGAACACGGTCTTCGGAGTAGCACCCCAAACCAGCCTTTGCCTGTGGCATTCATACCATCTGTCACTACTCTCCTCAAAGCAGATCTGAGCCATCCTCTCAAGAAGGACTGGCAGAAGGAGCCCAGTGGGTGTTTGAAGCAGCCCCGTGTTAAACTGTACCAAGAGTTTTACTCTCAGATACTGAAAGAGCTGCCCTGTGCAGGGAGTAATCTGCAGTTCCTTCAGCTTGCATTGCAGTTCCTGACTGTCTTCTGCTCCGTGCCAGAGCTGTATCCTGAAAAAGAAACTGCAGTCATGGTTGTTTTTGCTATAAAAAAGCTTCTCTCTGGTATGAAAATTCTCTTTCTCCACCTCCTTTGCTAATTTTGTGAGTTAAAAGCCATTTAGCAAAGCATAAGGTTTCTTTAAAAGTCTGCATTTGTTTACTTGTGTTAAAACAGCAGGCTATCCTTTTTTAAATGCATAACAGGAAAATTTTCAGGGAGGCAATATTTTGGTACCTGGACCACAGCCACCATCTGGTTTGGTAATGATCTTCTGATAGATGTTAATATCTTAATAAAGTTGAGGTCCTGAGTTACGCATCCCTGGTAGAGCATTTTGAAAGTAACTGGAACATGGTAGTACTTCTGGAGGTAGGGCTGAACTGCAGTGTCCTGCTTGTGTAATTGGTATAGTAGGCACCACTGAAGCAGCTGATCTGTACCAGGTCAGATCTTAGAGTAAAATACTCACCTGCTTTTGTATCTTCTAGGTGAGTTTATAGAACAGTGGAAGTTACCTAACTGTTATGGATGATGAACACCATGTGGTAGTTCTGATAAATTTTGTGGGATATTAGCAGGTGGGTTCCTTTATCCTCACCAAATAAAGAGCCAGGGCTGGAAATTACATGAAAACCCTCTGCTGCCAGCTGTGGGACCTAATGGCTCCTTTATATTGTCTCATTCACAAAGAGGGATGAACAGAGAGCAGGAATAACTGTTCTCTTTGACTTCTTCAAACTGCTGGAGTCTGTCAAACTTATTACTGGCATGCTCTGGTGCAGTGATGTCCAAACATTTTTGATTGCATACACCTATCATTAAAATACTCTTAAGAAATTGAACACACAGCTTGAATATAACTTACTTACAAATTATACATGTGCTATTCCACTATGTATATTATAAAGCACACATACAGAAAATGTTGAAAAAGAATGAGATAAAGATGAAGTAAACACTATTTAAAGTATGTTTTTGTATTAAAGATATTTTACTTATAATTCCCCCGACTCCAGTGAATTCCCTGGGGTGTGCACACCCTGCTTTGGAGACGCCTGTTCAAGTGAATTGCAGTTGTGATCTCAGTGTTTGCATTGCTATTAAGTAGTCATAGAAAAAGCTTTATATTTTTATGATTTGTGATTGATCTCTGGCCACCATTTGTAGAAAGATGTGTGGCTTGTTTAACCTGCTCCCTTGGCTTGTGCAGCTGCTTTAGTGTAGTCTTTCTGTATTACTGAAGACTTTTTGTTGGTATGATGACTGCTCTGAACCTGAAGGTAGGATATACTTGAGATCGTCAAGTTATTGCACTAGTGGGAAGAAAGGTAAGCAGAAAATATCAAGCCCTCTATTTATTTGAGTGCTAAAAAGGTACCCCCAAAACTGTTTTATTTTCAGTTTGCCCCGTTCCTAACTGTGAAAGTTCTTGTCTTGGGAATTGATTGCTTTTGTCTCTTGAATATGCAGGTCCTGCAATTACAATCCAGGTGATCCGAAGTATGGAGATGGAGCTGACAGAGGTGCTTGTGCAGGTGCTGGGAAACTGCTCTGCTGAGGAGTTTTATGCCATAATGAGGCTGGTGCTGCAGGGACTGGAAGTGAGGAATATTTGGCAGCAGAAGGCTAAAGTAAGGCATGAGCTTAATGTGTTGTCAGCTTCCTTCTGCAGTCTGCTGTATGTTGAAACAAGGTTGTTGGCTGAATGGCATTTGTTAAATTTTTTTCTTCTTCCTGCTTTATGTTCAGTGATCAGGTCAAATTAATTTACATGGATAAGGGCTTTGTGACTGTGCTATGTTCTGTATATAAACTGAGAGCTGGAAAAACTCAGAAAACTTTCTGTCCATCTTAAGCAGTCTCGAGTCCATGTGTTGTCAATAGAAATCACACAGCTGTGGTGTTACAGGCCATTCTCAAAGCTCTTTCCTACTTGCTGCTCAGAGCTCTTGCACAACAGATACCAGCAGTCAGTGATTATCTGTAGCTCTTTTTTACAAGGTTAAAGGCACTTCTAGAAGTGCTGGCATTTTTAAGTAAAACCAAAACTGCACCTGTGCTTTTGGTGCTTGTTGCTCTAAAGACTACTCAGCAATACCCAGATAGCACTCAGTATCTTTTTAAATTATGTGCCCTTCATCAGAGCAGCTTAAGCACCAGTGGTGATGTATGGAACACTTCTGGCAAAAAAAAGGTCTGCTGTATGCTCCATAGAAAGCCCAGTGATTTGAGAATGACACTTGGATTAAATTTGCGGGGTTATCCGTCCCTATCTTATTTCTCAGAAGAGCAGCAGCTGTGCTGCATCAATTCTTGATGCATCTTTTTGAACGTGTATCTGGAATTCTTGAACTGCACAGGTAATTCCTGCTACCTGAATGTAGCTTGAAATATGCTTCTTTTATCAGTCTGTATAAACAACTAAAGGGGAAAAGGTTTGAAAGAGCAATTAAAAAAACCCTGATGCCAAAAGCAGCATTCTTAATTTATAGAGTACTGGTATCCTTGTATTGCCTCTGCTTCTCTCTGTTATCTAGTGGCAGTTGTATGAGAAGGCTTTCCTTTCTTAAAAGTCATGTAAGCTTTTTTGTACAGTAAGTTGATTGTGAAGCAAATGTGGCATAAAGTACATTTGGGTCAGTGCTGCTCAGTGCATTGAATTCTGTTGAGCTGCTGCTTGCTTCACAATTTCCAAAGAGAGGTATTGGTGGGAGGCCTTTGATGTGTCTAGGCTCTGGTAATGCTCAAAAGTGCCACTGACCTTGAAAGAGCTCTTTTGTACATGAAAGGAGCCGGTGTGCCTTGTACCCCTGACTGATGGTCCGTCTGCTTTCTGCAGGAAGTATTGTCAGCTGTTACGTTAACCAAATTGTTGCTCAGCTGCCCATTAAGTGGAGACAAAGGGAAAGCTTTCTGGTTTGCCAGCCCACAGATAATCACAGCTTTAGCTGTAAGTATCTCTTTATTGTAACTTCATTACCTACCCCTCCTATCTCTTAGACTCTCTAGTGGCTACCGCCAACGAGCACAGAGGCACGCAGGAACAAAATAAAACAAATCCATGTTTCCAAATCCAGATTCATCTGAAGTTTTTGTGTAGACCCTTTTTCTCCTCCTTCCTCAAGTAAATCTCCTGTGAGTGCAGTGTGCAGGTCATCCATTTCTTATACACAGTAATTTTATGGAACTACACTGTGTAATATGGAGCTTGGGAGAAACTTGTTAGACTGCAGAGTAGAGACTCTGTCTCCTGTCCAAAGGAAAAGATAACCATCAGCCATGTGTTACAGCAGAAGCCAACAGCAGCAAAACAAAACAAGTGCTTATAGAAAAAAGTAATTATATAAATTCACTGAATTATGAAAGGGAAACTTAACTGAAACTGATCAAACCCAAGTTTCCTGCCCTTTGTTTGTACAGCATATAAACCTAGTGATGTAGGTTTTTCTTCTCTTGGGATGATGTCTCTAGGCAAGAATTTATCAGCGGTTGGTTCTGCAATGGCTGGGAATCATAAGCTTGCAGTTTCTGCCCCTTTTGATAGGTCTGCATGCATGTAAAGGGGTGACCTGCATCATTGGGTTTGTGTGAAGAGGTGCAAAGAGGTGCTGGTTTTCAGGAGGCTGGGGAATAGTTGTCATTCCGGTTGCCATTCCAATGCTCACAGGAGTGTTTGTTTGAAATGCATCATGTGCATCCTCACACAGGGCACAAGTGCATGGAAATGGCTCAGGTGCAGGGCAGGAGTCTCCCTGCCAGTCCAGTTCACACTGGTCTAGTTCCATTGACTCCAGTCAGATCATTAGGGTTCTCTGGTGTTCCAACACTAATGCATTGCTCATTGTCTGTTTCCTGTCTTGTAGCTGCAAACCAAAGAGGCCTGTCAGGACCAGGCACTGATTTCCATCATAGTTACACCTATTCTAGAGACTGTAGCAGCTCTGCTAAGGCAGGGAGAAGGGATTCTTGTGAATCCACATCACGTTTCATTGGCATTCAGCATTCTTCTAACAGTCCCTCTGGATCATCTGAAGACAGAAGACTATCATGGTGTCTTCCTGGGGGTCCATGAAGTGCTCTTCTCTATTGTGCAGTGTCATCCAAAGGTATATCTGTGATGGGGTGGGAGAAGGAGAAAAGGTTTGAAAGAGCAAACATATTAGTGATACAATTTTTTAAATTATTTTGAAATATTTTGTCTTGATAGTATGAAAATGCATTGTACTGCTTGTCATGTAAAAGGCTGAGAATCTCAAAATCACATAATTTCAGTTGCTCTCCTGCTTTGCTTGTGCCTGCACTGTTGTTCTTTGGCAGTGGATTGCTTTTGAGCATCTGGTGCTACGTTAGGAGAAAATGTTTCCTTTTCCTATGATTGATTCTAGAAGCACAAATAGCTCAGGATGCAGAATGAGAAGATAGTTGCTACCCTCTCCAGTCCCTCTACTATGTATTCTCACATGTTTTTATTTCATGTGTTTTTCAGGTGCTGTTGAAAGCAGCACCATCCTTTCTGAGCAGTTTCCATCGTCTCGTTGTTTCTGTCATGCATGAAGGACGTCAGAAAGGAGACAGAGGTACCATATCTTTTCCACCTTTGCTTTATATATATACTGTAGAAGAGGAGATGCTGAACAGGACAAAGTCCTCAAAACCTAGCTGTGGAATTGAAACTGTCATCCCTGTCAAACCTGTCCTTATGAAAAACTGAGGATGAGCTTTGTGGTAGTGGGCTTAGGAAGATAACTGGGGCTCCTGGGGTGCTGCATGCAGACAGCATTGCTTTTGGTGAATAAGTTATTCTTCACTGTCTGGCTGGCAAGTAGACAGGAAGCAGTAAGGCTAACTGTGCCCAATTTCTGCTCTTCCTGTCAAACCCTGTGTCTGCAAGCATGGTGGCTGTGAGCTCCAGTGATTTGTGCTAATATGTGTGAGTTATAATCCCAAATGGATGATACTAAATGGATTTTTTTTAGATTGGAACTATGTTTACTACAGAGCTGAGCTGTCACCATTCTATGCTAAGTATAAGAACTCCATGTGTATCCGAAGCATCATTTGGGATTAGATGATACATCCATGTGGTCAAGGATTTGGAATTAGGGTAATTAAATATCCTAAGAGGAAGGGGAAAAAGTAGACTTATTACAGGAAGTTATTAAAGAGTTTACATAGTCAAAGTGGACAAGTCAGAGATGTCCACACTGATTAAGATGGCCAGGATAGATACCCTGTCATTAATAGTGGAGGGTTTTGAGATAAGTTGACTTCATGGCCTGAAACTGATTGTATCCCAGCTTTCTGCTGATGTCCTACAGCCTGTGCCATGTTTAGATTTATCTCAGCTGATGTGTTGTCCACAGCTGTGGGCAGATATAAGTGTATGTATTCATTGTAGAGGAATATGTTAGCTGAGGCTCAGTGATAGGGGAAAAGGTATGTTAAACTGGTGCCAGATTTGGAGAATTTTCTTGCTTCTGCAATATGTTTACATAAGGCAGTCATCACAGGAAGCTTACAGGTACATGGCATCCTCAAGCTGAAAATGTTTGTCTTTGCTACAAAAACAGGTAACATGGAAATAATTTCTGGATTTCCCTTCTCCCTTGTTTATACTAGCGGTCTTCATTCTCTGCCTACTGAGTTAATTCTTAGCTGATCTCACCAGTCTCACTTTAGATACCTCCAGTGATGCAGCTTTTGCTGCTATATTTCACATAATAGATCTCATCAAAGAGATTTCTTACTATGCTGTTTCTAAGAAATGTCTTCTGATTTTCTCTAGGCAGGGAATACAATTTTCTTGTCTCCTCATTCTCTCCTCCACAGTGCTAGTTGGGACTGAATTGTGAAAGGGACCATAACTGCTGTTGTGAGCACTTCAACATCTATAACAAGTAATTTTTGTCTCACAGTGCACATGAAATTGGAATCAGTATGCTTCTACAAAGTAGCCACTCTAAGGGATGTGTTTTGTGTATTTTGTGTGTTGTGGGGGGCCTCTAGCTGTGGCTTGATAAGAAAAGATGAATAGGCAAGCTGTCCTTGGCCTCATGTTGTTTAAGGATCATGGAAGACTGAATGATTCTTTGGGTTTTTTTTTTTTCCTAATGTTTTTAAACCTCAAATGCCAGGCTGCATCTCACTTTGTGTTTTAGGCAACATGGATGAGTTTGAAATGATACTGAAATGTGCACACTTGGTGGAACGGATGTATACTTATATTGCTGCAGAAATGGAGGACTTCACTGTGTTTTCTGCCTTCATTGTGGCTCACTATGTCACTGAATTGCAGAAGGTATGTTCTCATCTGTCTTGAAAGTGCCACAGTATTGAGCTAGCTTTGGAGTTTCTGTTTCAAAGGCAACTCTGTTAAATTCTGTAAGACGTGTGAAGTTACAATTGTTATACCTCGTGGAGATGCAGGTTTGATCCAGGCTTTTGTATTATGCAAGAGTTCGTGAGAATCTTTCTTACCAAACTCTTGGAAAATTTTCTAAAGGTGTGGGCTGTGTTTTTTGTCTTTAAGGTAAAACAATGCAGTGCCTAAGTACAAAGCTGTTTTGCTTTAGTGCCATGTTGGGTGTTGCTTTTCTTCACAGAATCATGGAGTGGTTTGGGTTAAAAGGTTGAAAGATTTAAAGGTCATCTAGTGCAGCTTCTCTACAATGAGTCGGGACATCTTGAAATACATCAGGTTGCTCATAGCCACATCCAACTTGGCCTTGAATGAAATATCCACCACCTCTCTGGACAACATATTCCAGATTTTTGCCACTATCATTGTTAAAAATGTCTTCCCTATACATCTGGTAGTTAAGTTTATCTTCCAAATAGTCTCAGTTGTCCAGGACTGATAGCAGTTAAGTCTCCATCTGGCAAAGTAATGGTGGAAGATTCTTCTGGAAAAAATCTTTTAATATGGTCTAAATGATTAAGTGAATGAAAAAAATGTTGCCACAAGGCAAGAGTTGTTAGCTTTTTGGTAATTTTCCTTCTGTACCAAAGATATTATTCTGATCCTTACTGAAGGCAACTGCTTCTACTCTTATGGATGCCAGAAGCAGATCAGTGTTTTCTCTCATCCAGAGGTAACTTCAGCTTGTCATTTTCTTCAGCCCATTAGATGCAGATTTCACCAGGGTTTGAATGCTGTTGTGGTGCACGTACCTGCAGACTGATTATTTGTGGTTCTGGCCTGGGCACAGGCTGAAATACAGAAAGGAAATTTAGTCTTTGTTTTAAGACCCTCTTACAAAACGAAAATCCTAACTGGTGCTGTGTTTCTGAAGGACTGTGGTGTAACTAACCATGAAGGTTATTACAGAGGTTAAACTTTGCTACCTTCTCTGTTGCCCGTCTTTTTCCTTTTTTTTGGTGGAGGGTGGAATGGGGGAGCAAAATAATAGGAGATGTCAGATTTTAGCCATATTATTTACTGTTCCTGGTTAGTTGGTTATTGTTTGCATACTGAATGTAGTAGTTCAGCAAAGAGAAAATTGCTGTTAAGGTAGCTTCCCTTTAACCATCTGTGAATTCTGTAATCTGGTCATCACTGAATGTAAGTTTGAAAGCCTGACTTGAATTGTCAAACGACCTTTTTAAGTTGAAAGGACACTTGTCTCAGTATTAGCAGGAGTACACAGTCTCATGAGATGTCTAGGTAAGTTTTGTTCAAGATGTTCCCTGGGAAATAGAAAGTGATGGATGATAGCTGAAACCACAGATCAGTAATGTATGCATGGAACCTTTGGGTGTGGAAGGGGAAATTGGTGTATTGAGCCAGCAGACACTGTGGCAAAGGAGTGTCTTCTGTCTGACAGAATAGATAGATCACAAGTAGGTGATGATTTATTTGCTCATTAGACTGCTGAGAATTGATGGATATCAGAGGAAAGGGGACCCTCAGATGCCTGTCTTAAATGGGGCATGTACACATCTTTCATGTTGCTCTGCAGAGGGAGAGAAAAGCTCTTTTAACCATTCATCTCTTCCGAGTCAGGATCAGTGGCTTTTTCCCTGTGATATGAAGACCCTGAGGGTCCATTAAAGATAACTGAGAAAAACATGTTAGTAGATTTAAGTCTTTATGTAGGCATCTGCACACTTACTGGAACCCTTTTAAGGGTCTGCAAACTAGAACTGAGGAAAGCTACTGTCCTAAGCAGTCACTTATCCCTAAAGCCGTTGTGTAACAGCTCCCTCAGTGCTTCCTCTTTATACCATAAATTATTTTGTATTAATTTAGAAAGATTCCTTACTGGAGAGGGTGGCATCTCTTTCATACTGTTCACAGTGCTTTCTTCTTGTTGCCTCTGAGCTGTTGCTTAATTCAGCAATAGAGGAATACCTCTTCACACATTTAGTGTATCACATCAAGAAATCTGTAATGCTTGACAAATTGGTTGTGCTAACTGTATAGACCATAAACCACTTACAAGTATAATTAACTGCCAGCCAGTAGCTGTTTAAATCTTTGGCTCTGCTTCCCATGGTGTTGTTGGTGTTTATAGGAAACTGCAAAGTAAGAATGGCCTGAATAAGGCATGGGTCCAGATGAATTTGTGATGTGAGGGATGCAGTTCTGTTAACTGCGGCTCTGAGACAGCTGCTTATCCCAAGTAGGCCCTCTGGTCCATATTGTCAGTAGCTGTGGGTTTTCCTGTCCTTGTTCTCTGCAGTCATTTCTCTTCCCTAGGAAGGGAGAGCCCAGCCCAGTGCATTCACTGGGAGCTGTGATGCTCAGCTGTTTTCCAACTGTATTGCACAGTGCAGGGAGAAATAACATCTATTGTAAACAAACCAATTGATCAACTGACAGAGAAGGGAAAAATTACAACCTCTTGCACATGCAAACTCTTCAGGGTCACAGATCTAAAGGAAATCTTATGTGCCTTAATGTCTGCTATATGTTTTTCCATGCTATATTAGTGGATCTAACAAAACATATTAGCTGTTTTCACATTTAGGGCAGAAAGAGAGTGGGAGCCTGTCACAGTGATGAGGAGCACACTTCATTAGCAGAAAGTTTATTAGTTGCCTAAGGAAGAAAGAGGCCTGAATTTTAATGACGGCTTTTTATGTGATTTTCATTAGGCCTGGAGTGCAGAGGCTCACATCTGGAGGCATAAAGCTAATTTTGGGATTCAGCAAAGATAAGATATGGTTCTGCAGCAAAAATAACGCATTGATGCCAGAGGCCAGCACTGTCTTGGGCAGTGAAGTACTTAGCAAGTGATTTGTGAGCCCAGGACAAATTTCAATTAGCCTAGAGCAGCAGAGGGCTCCAGTGTCTGTGCTGATGTTCCTGGTTATAGTGGCTGTTCTACTGGTTGTGGGATTGAGCAGAGGTAATGTCAGGAGCAGGGTGTTGGGTCCTGTGTCATTTCTTGTATTCCTCCAACTTTCTGCATGACTTCAGGCAAGGTACCTGATTCTTGGTGTTAAAACAGATTAAGGAAATGTACGTTTCTGAGATTTTTGAAGGCTTGTTTTATTAAGGCGTGCACAGTGAAGTACTCAGAAAAAATTGTTAGATAAATATGAAATTGTTAAGTGATATGTTAAAATTGTTTCTACCGAATGTAAATGAAGTGCTCATTTGAAACTGACATAATAGCGTACAGCCTGTACGAGACATAGAGAATCCACTGAAATGTGTAATCCAAGGCAAGTATTTTAGGGTTTTTTAATTACAGTTGTTGTGCTGAGGAGTGTCCCTGTGATTCCAGAATGATTAGTGTCTTTGCCGCCGCAGCAATGTGTATAGTACTCCTGTGGATTTTACTGCAAGGGCTGTGCTTGTTTTGCAAAACATGTTTGCAAAATTCAGGAAAATACTGCACAAGTCAATCTTGGATTTTATCTAATGGGCTGCTCCAGATGGTCTGATGCAAAGGATAGTGTTGTCAGCATTTAATGTATACTGACTGTGGAAATGGTGTCGTCTTGCCTTTCTGTCTTCAAGGCAATTTTGTTCTTCTTGCAGGTGACTTTGCATCCAGCTGTGAAGACACATCTCACAGAAGGAATATATCACATACTTGACCTTTGCATTGAACGGGACATCAAATTCTTAAATGCGTCGCTCCCAGCAGGCGTGAGGCAGGTCTTCAAGGATCTGTATAATGATTACAACCACTACCACAAAGCAAAGAAGCAGGGGGAGGAAAAGTACACTGCATGATGAATCCTGCCTGGCGCTGCGTGATCAGTTATGAATTGATCTTGGAGTGCTCAGAAGATGCTCAGTTGCTGTTTGGTTTGGGATAACGAGTAAAATTGAGCTTGAGGAGGGTCCTAAACATGGATTGCATTTATCCCTATACAGCCAGCCTTCATAACGGGGAAAAAGGGAACAGGGGAGGGAGGGTGTGCTGTGCTGTTGGTTCTGGTCCTGTGTTGTGCCACAAATGGCAGAACTGCTGTTCCTCTGCTGGCCCCTGGTGAGCTCTCTGGGAGCCTTGGGGAGCTCACTGCAATTTGGCAGCAGATGTCAGGCTTCAGGCTTTGGCACATCTTGGTGCTTTCCTGTGGAAGCAATAGTCTGGTCTAAAAGCCAGCAATGGATATAACCCCCGCTTTTGCTTACATGGTAAGCAGAATTAAAGCAGTTAAAATGCTTATTTTTGTACCCTGTTATTTTACATTTTGTAACTGAAGTACTTTGTCAATGTTATACAGCTTTACATTAGGTTACTATGCAAACCTGCAGAAGTAAAAGTAAAAAATTTGGAAGATTGTATCTCTTTGCTTGATTGGTTTTGCTTTCCAGTCCAGCCCTGGGCAACCTGGTCTGACCTATTGAATTTCCTTCCCAACTGTATTATCCTCTGATTTCATGATAATCAAAAAGACTGACTACCTGGAGCTCTGTTCGATTTACTGTCATTAAGCAGTTACACTTAGTCATCCGAGCTGTGGTCACTCTCAGCGCACTCTCTGTTTGGCTTGTGACAAATGTTAATTACTGTTACTATCTGGGACTCTTCTTGGTCTAAGCTGAGCCTTGTTGCTTTGTATTCACTCTAGGTTAAGAGTAAGCCCTCGACTTATTGCAGCTCAGCTCAGCTTCTGACAGGAAGCTTTATCAAGTTTTATCAAATAACTCCCTTTCATTATCTAAATGACAGAACTTTGGTTTTTTTAAATTATATATACTAAAGATCTAATTTTTATCTAAGTGGTAAAACAGTCTTCACATGCACATGTAGGTAGTAGAAAGAACTCAGTACTCTTATATGATTATTTGCTTTAATCTGTAAACAGGGGGTGGGCAGAGGGAGACTGGAATGTGGCTTACCACTTTTCTGGGTCTATCTGCCTCCATAGCAAGGTCCAAAGGATGAAGTTTGTCTGCGGCAAAAGGCTTCATGTGGCTCAGATGAGGCAGATGACCAGGGCTCCAGCATCCTTTGGGCTGGAGACGACCCTCCTGTCATCCTGAAAGAGCATCTTGAAGGGCTTTGATACTGTGGAAGCTCTGTTCAGAAGTAATAGTGCTATGTTATTAACACTTTTCCAGTCACAAATGCAAACCACAGTGGCATATAAGCTGAAGCAAGTTAACTCTCTCTAAGCTGGATCCTATGCACCACTGGGCCACTTCTGTATTTTATTTTGTGTGGGCCGGCAGTGGGAATGGGAGTTACTTCTGCCGCACCAGGAAGGGGGACAGTGACATAGGTCCCAGAAGGGACACAAGCAGGAGCTGGAGGCATCCAAAGAGGCACCAAAGAGGGGAGGTCTCCAGGGTGGAGACAGTTAATACACTGGAAAACGAAGGAAGGATTTGAGCACTGGGAGAGGATGTGGAAAGAACAGCAGAAGAAAAGCTGGGTTTGGAGCGGGGGAGGAAGGAAGTGAGGGAGGAAGGAAGTGAGGTAGCATCTCTGGCGTGTGAGTGTCAAGGCTCCCCAGATGCAGCCATATGGTGCAAGCCACACACAGCTCAACAGCTTCTGAGTGCACACCACAGTAAATAACACTAGCCAGAGAAGGTGAGCTAGTTGAGTTGAGGTCAGTTTAATTTCATTAATACTAACTTTTAAATTGTTACCAATTTTAACTGCTTGGTTTGGAAATGAAAATGTGTAACTGACTTAGATGTACAGGGGTGATGGAATTAACAAACCCCCACTATCAAAAGGGCACGGCGCTTGAATCAATGAGAATCTGAAATCCTGCCACAATTAAACCTTTATTTCAAACACCCTGTGCACTGCCACTTACCCCGCAGCCCCCACTTCCATGCAAGGCAGTGGAGTTCTGCGGCACAAGGCAGCGTTTCGTGTAGAAGTGGCAAAAGGGGTTAAAAGGAAGGCTGTCTTTCACTTGCTAATCCCAGGTCTTTGTCCAAGAACTGCTCCGGATTTTTTTTTTTTAGCTAGCATAAATTGAATCACTGGCAGAGGACCACCTGCTGAGAAAGCAGGCTTTGTGCTCCCGGGTGCATTCCCACGTGGGTGCAGTTTCCTCCGCTGGCACACGATGGGGCCATCCTGCAAGGGTACAAAGCACCGTCTGAAATCGGAGCCCTTCCTCCTAGGCTGGGGTAGTTTATGAGCTCTGAACGCCAGGAAGGTAAAGGGTGTGGAAGAAACACCATCTCGGGTAAAGGCCAGGAATCACGACCTTTGTTTCACAGGAGTGTTGCTTTGTGTGCGTGAATCTCCAGGCCTTACAGATATTCTTGGCCAGGTTTTCAATTGTTGATGCAGCACACCTTTTCTTGCTGCAGCATGGACAGAAATTCCTCCTGCAGGCAGAGCTCAGAGGCTGGGATCCTCAGAGGGATCTCAGGCTCCTGCCGGCTGTGCCACTGGCTCAGCCTGTGACTGCCTGCAGTGTTTTTTACTGTGCATGGGCAGTGCCCAAGTCTGCTGTGCCAAAATAGGCTCAAATAGCAAGAAACAGGAAAGGCAAGAAGAACAGTCAAGAGCAACAAAAATCATGCTGGGTTTATTTACCCCTTATTTTTGTGTAGCTGCTGTGAAAATCAGCTGATTTTTCTACTTGCCTGGTGGTGTGGCTTAATACTTGATTTACCTTGCAAGTATGGATAGAAATGTCAAAAAAGATGATGGTTTAAGGTGTTAGAAATTGTGTTACTAATTCAAAAATTGTTTTTCCTGATCATACCTTTTGGGAAGAGACTATGTACTGAGTACTTTCCTTTAAGCTTGAAATGAATCAGTAGCTTCCTATTTGTTTACTTGATGCAATTCCGGAGATTCTGGACAACAGAGGTCTCCTTCCAAAGCTACCTTTGTGGGTTAAAACATAATAATATGAATAAAGGAGTACTTGAGATTTCTACACCATTATTACTGAACCATTAAACGTCTCCAGTGACACAGTTTGCTGATGATACTGGACTGAGTGGGGAAGTGAACACTTGGGACAGGAGAGCCAAGCTGCAAGAAGAGCTGGATAGGCTGGAAGACTGGGCTAACAAAACCTTGTGAAGTTCAACACAGACAAACAGGGTCTTGCACCTGGGAAAACATAATCCAAAAGTCCAGCACAGGCTGGGATCTGCCCACGTGGGGAGCAGCAGAGGAAAGAAATCAATCCCATCAACAAGGGCATCACCAGTAGAGAAAAGAAGTCACTGTCCCTCTCTACTCAGTGCTTGTCAGGCCACACCAGGAATAATGTGATTAATTTCATTCCCCACTATGCAAAAGAGATGTGGACAGGCTGGAGAAGGTCCAGGGAAGGGCTACAATGATGATCAAAGGACAGGGAAGCTTTCCATGGGAGGAAAGGCTGAGACAACTGGATTTGATTAGCTTTGAGAAAATAAGGTTTAGAGGGAGACCTTATCACTGTGTTCCTGTATTTAAAGGGTGTCTACAAAGAAGATGAAGACTCCCTTTCTGCAAGGAATCACATGGAAAACACAAAGGCTAATGGTAAAACTGGGGACATTCCAATTGGACACAAGAGGAAAATTTTTCACAGAGAGAACAATTGGCCATTGGAGTAATCTCCCTGGGGAAGTGGTGGATTCCTCAACATAGAACAATTTTTTTTTTTCAGCTAAATGACTGCTTGATTTTTTTTTTCAATGAGAAACATGCAAAAGTGCCATTGTAGGGAGTACTGACATTTGTTGCTGAATGATCAGTGATGTATTCTGCAAGCAGTAAAAATTTCCAGAAATGGAGGCTCCTGTTATTGTATCTACCCAGTAATACTTATGTCACTGACAAGGGGAAGTGAAACCTGACTTGCTATGGAGCAGTACTGATTTGTATTCACCTATCTTTAAAAAAAAAAAATTAAAGTGGTTTTTTTTTTAAATTGACTTTAAAGTCTGGAAAATTTGTGAAAGAAAGTGTGTCGCTGTGACCTTTTGAGAAGTTTTAGTCTAGGAGGGCCCTCCAGGAAACCCTTTGGCAGTTCTTCAGGAGAATCCAGGAAGAATAAATAAACGTCCTCCAAGTGATTAAGCTGTATTGCCATCCCTTTACTTCCAAAGAAGGATACTGACATTTTTGTACCTATTTCTGAAGATAGTAGCAAATAAAATGACCAAATCAGTTTTATCTCTTGTAGGAATCTTCTAATGCAAGCATAGAGTGGCAAGAGGTACAGGCCTGCTATGGCTTTCAAGTGGTGACTGCTTGGTTCTTTCTAGGTGTAGACTTGTTTATTTCAGGAGAGCTTCATTCTGACGTGTGCTTCTGTGGCTTTTCTTTTAAAATTGTGGAGACCAATTTCTGCTCCAAAACAGTTGTCATTATTTTATTTAAATTTTGTAGAAGTTGGATTCAGAATTGCTTATTGAAAGAAGTTCCATAGATGATCTGCTCTGAATTAGATGTTTTCTGGTGGAGGCTGCTGCAGGGCCTGGGCCCTCTTTCCAGCTGGGAAGTCACTGTAATGCCTTTTCAGATTCTTCCCCACAACCAGAAGACAGGGTGTTTTTGCTGATAGCTGGCAGAGAGGATTTGGAAAGCAAACAAAGAATAAAAGGAAAGAAAAACTGGGGGCAGGTCCTCCATTAATTCATCTCTTCAAGTTTTCTGTAAGGTTCAGGTGTCCCTGCTTTTGTTTTTACAGCCTATGCTTGAGGCATTAATTCTCCAGGCTTTGACAGAGCTGTGCTGGGGCTGCTCAGGAATGTGCACAAAGCTGACACATTGCTGTCCTAAGCATGACAGCCATGGGCTGCTCCTGCTGTAGGAAGGGAGAGAAGGAAAACAGCAAGAATGGAGGTCTAGGATGCATCCAGTCTACTATCAGGACTCTGCTGAGATGACTTTATTAGGAATCAGCTTACAAGGCAGAAAGAGATTTCTGGTAGCTGAAAGCAGAGCAGCTTTGAAAACCAGGCTGTTCCTGATTTTCAGTACATCTTAAACATCCATTGCTTTATTTGGTCTGCTCCAAGCACCTAGAAACCTTTCTGGGCAACAGGCCACCACGTGTGCAGTAGTGTGAGCTGTGAGCAGGCACTCACTGTCCCAACACGCTGCCAGGTGTGAGAGACGGTGGGTGGGAGAAGAAACAACATTGTAGGAAGAAGTGATTGATTTCTGGATTTCTGTTTAGTTTTTTATGCCAGTTTTAGAGCAGCATGTGGGAGTTCCCTTCAGTAACCCCAGGGAAGAGTATTCTTGGGTTTGGGGATTGTTAATATTCCAGGAAAAAAAAAAAAGGACGAGTAAAAGACTGTGTTAAAAAAAAAAAATTAGCATGTGGGAGTTCCCTTCAGTAACCCCAGGGAAGAGTATT